GAGGATAGTTGTAACAAGAAGTACCCTCTGATCCTAGGTTGACCAGGTCCTGGCTGCATGGCTGTTGTGCCCAGACTGTGAGGCAATATCTCACCTCGCAATAGGTACGGATTAGACGCCATGCTTCCATTGACACTCAGTTCAGTGTACTCACTAGGTACGTCCATGCACGGACTTCGGCTTGAGTGGCTCATCTCGGGTATTTGTACTCGTATATCAGGTATCAGCTCCAACTACCTCAGGATTTAGTGCGACTCCCTCAGGGTGGGTCTGAGGCAGTTAGAGGTCGACCGTCTTGGTCATATAATAAGGCTCTGACTGTGTAGAGTTTACGTATATTTATAACAGTTCTGAGTCCTGACCCAGTAAAAAACCATTTATCACGTGAGAGTAGGATCTTAAATCATGTTGAAAATACAATTTACTGTACGGAGGACTCCGTATATCAAAAGTTTCAACTCCAGCTAAAGTCACGTGTAGTAGATCGTCGTATAGAAAGGCTCTAGCTGCCCCAGCAAGTTTCTATTTTAGGGGACGTGTTAGTAATAAATAGCTTTAACGGTATCAGAGACTATGAAAAATCATGCAACATGGCAGAATTTTCTCTAGGGCAGTTGGAGCTATGTAACGTAACACCCCTATCCCACGAAGATCATAGCTCGAAGCTCAGTCTCTTGGCACATCCCCACCTCTGGCAAGGAACTGTCATGACGTGTAGATCTACACATACAAGGACGAGTAATGTCTTTTGATGGAAAGCTATAATATAGTAATATGTATCTTTCCTTGTGTTTAACACAATGGCGGCTTTGGTGAAGTCGCCAGAAAATCCCCAATCGCTCAATCGGAGGGACGAATCCTATGGGGGCCAAAAACGTCAATGCCGCCAAGAAAGCGACAGGATTGAGCTGGACGCTCAAGAAGGCAAAAAGTATGTGGATCAAAATCTAAGCCCACTGCAGTCACAGCCTCAGGGTCTTTTTTCACTGTGACAACCTTCTTCAGGTCCTTCGCGACATGAGGAAAGTTTGACCCGTTAAACGGGTGGTTGACACAGGGCAGTAGAGGACCAATACGCCAGAGTCCGTTTTCCTTGCTGCCTCTTCCCCTGCCTATCAAAGGTGATACGCCAGAGTCCGTTTTCCTTGCTGCCTCTTCCCCTGCCTATCAAAGGTGGAGAGGCCTGAATTAATGGCGGAAGATATTAACAAAGATGCTGCACAACCCTGCACAGCCCTTCCATCGTCATGGCGACCTCAACTGAGGTACTTCAGTCTTTCTCAAAGTGTATCTGAGAAGGACGATAAAGACGGAGGGGCCACTAGTTTGATAACCGCCGTATCGACAACCTCTCTTACCGTACCGGGTGCACCGCGTCGCGATTATCAGGAGGGCGAAGAATGGATCAAGGGCGCCTTGCTTTGTACCTGGGGAGCAGGCATAGCCCTTGCCCTAAACTTCGTCATGGCAATTGTGGCAACGGGGATCAGCTACTCTAAACCGTCAAACAAAAGACGGTTCCAGTCAATCGCGTTGTACGATGGGAACTGTTCGGTTTCAAGTCACTGGGCGACGGGATTGCATTTGCTCATCAACCTACTCAGCACCCTGCTCCTGGCAGCCAGCAACTATGTCATGCAGTGCTTAGCCGCCCCGTCGCGTTCGGACGTCGACCAGGCCCACAAGCAACGGAAATGGCTTGATATTGGCACCTTTAGCGTGCGAAATTTCGCCGTGATGGACACGAGGAGAAAGATACTGTGGACTCTTCTGCTGCTAAGCTCAACCCCCATCCACATGATGTGAGCAGAAAGACCCCTGCATGAGGGCGTGGCATCAATAACCAATCGCTTAGATACAACTCGGTGGTTTTTTCCTCCATCTCCATGCTTGAATACGCTACGGTTGTGATCCCCGAGGACCTGGCGTCCAGTGAGCCATTGGTTGAAGGAAAGGATGGCACAGACAGCTTCATCCGCCAGGTGGGCACCAGCCCCGTTGATCTTCAAGCTGAGATCTCCAACGGCACCTTTCAAACCATGAGCGTCCAGGACTGTATAAACAAGTATAACGTGGAATTTAATACCCAACTTGGAACCCTCATCTTCATTACCGACCGGCGCCACTTTCAGAACACAGGCAGTCTTCAGGGCGTGATCGGTTACTCAGTAGCCTTAGATATTACGGTATACGATGTACTGCGAGACACAGATACGCAAGAATCGATAACCGATAGTAGCGTGACGGTGCATGGTCTGCATTGGGCGTACTTTCCTTGGAACTTCACCGTACCAGATACTCTTCCTGGGAAACGCACCTCCTTCACCCTCCAGGATATGGGCTATCTATATGACTATGAGAAATACAAAAATGATATCTTAGAGCACGACCTGGACGCGCTTCACGTTTATCTGACCACCTACAATCCTGACCGGCAGGCGCTGAGTACATATCTGAGGACCCCTACACATTGGGCGAATAGCTCTTGGGCAGCAAACCTCACGTTTGAGCTGGGTCATGGCCCAGTCTATGTACCCTCTGTATCCAAGGACAGTATAGATCGTGCCACACAGGTTTCACCCTCCCGCTGCATGACCAAAGACAAAGACCAACGTTGTCAATTGTTTTTCAGCCCACCTATCGCCATCGCGGTAATTGTATCTAACGTGATCAAGGTAATCTGCATGTATCTCACTGCCCGGACGGGCAGGAAGAACATTCTTTTGACTGTCGGCGACGCCCTCTCCTCGTTTTTGACGACACCAGACCCAACTACAGAAGGCAACTGTCTCCTGTCGCGGGCAGACGTATCTCGTGGTCCGGAATCATGGACTGCAGTGACGATCTGGTCGAGTCCTAATCGGTTCAAGGGATACCATCTAAAGTGGTCGATGGGCAGTACGGCAGACATCCCTTTGGTAGAGATTCCTTCTGGGACAGACCCTCCTTCTACAGATTGCCCCAAGATGCTCCCAGGAAGGAAGCGATGGTATCAAGCTGCTAGTGTCAAACGCTGGACTGCTACTCTCGGTTTGTGAGTCTCTGGATTCATCTAAGCCATCTCAACTTGTTCTCTAACCAGCTGTTGAACCTAGTTTTACTTGCTGCTTAGCAACCTCTATTTTCCTCCTCCGTCTCTCTCTAGGCACTAGTAGTGGTTCCATCCCAAAGGCATGGGCACTCGGATTTGGAAAGGCCACCAGCCGGACCATGATCCAAAGCTCTGCCATCTCGTCCACCATAATCGCACTAGTGCTGCTGAGTAACACCCCACAGATAGTGCTTTCCATCCTCTATTTCCTCTGCAACAGCCTCATGACCTGCATGAGGATCGCCGCCGAGTACGACGACTACGCCACCCAGCGCAAACCTTTACGGGTCTCCTGGCCCAGGGGCGAACAGCGCTCAACATACTACCTCAGTCTGCCCTATCGCTACAGCGCCCCTCTCATTTTCTTCTCCGTCATAATGCACTGGCTCCTGTCACAGAGCATCTTCTTCGTCCACATCCAGGTTTATGACGTGCATGACCAACTATCCCAAATGTCCTTTCGCGGCTGCGGCTATTCACCTATTGCAATTTTCATTGTACTTCTCGTCTCTTCCGTTGCCATATTAGCTCTCCTCGGGGTGAGTTCCCGACGACTGAAATCCCGCATGCCGCTAGCGACGCATTGTAGCGCCGCTATCAGCGCCGCCTGCCATCCCCCGCCAGGTGATCGCGATGCGGCTTTGAAGCCGGTGATGTGGGGGGAAGTACCGCGAGGTATGTTCGATGAGCCAGGCAGGGATCATTTAACGGCGAACCATGGAGCTGGTCCGGAATCATTGGAGGCCAGATATCACTGCACTTTCACGTCGCAGGGAGTCGAGACCCCGAATCCGGGCCGCCTGTATCGTTGAGTCAGCTGCAGGGCCTGTTTGGCATGCCTTATAAGAACAATGATTTCCATGTGTATATGTATTGTTAGACTTTATACCATATTCCTAATAAAGTTTATGTCCAGTGGCTGGATCTTGACGCTGTAGCGAAAACGGAATTCGGTACTTATGGCGGCAATCGACTATTATTTAATATTAACTGCACGCTGGAGTATTGGGTTTACATGGTAGCATGGAAGGAAAAATGCCATCCAAAATTAAGATGTTTTGAGGATGCTCGCATTGACATACCCAAGGGTCTAGAGAATTAGAGTAGGGACAATATATATATATAATTTCCCGTTACAACAGAAAAGTAACTAACATACCAACCACAGAAAACTTGTATTATAGAGACAACTACTATTTTCCCAGACATAGCACCTATCTAAATTTTGTATAATTAATGAAAATAACCGACTCAGCCTCATGTTGAGGACTCAAAGCGTCCAGTCAAAGATGAGAAAAAAGCTTGAGAGGCTTGAGTTTGTTTACAGATATACCATGGTTTACGTAGCTCTATCATCCAATGGGGCGGTAGCTCAGTGGTAGAGTGGAAGATTGCAATAACCTAATTGGTTAACCAAATGTTGCAACCTATCTTTAGGTCGCCGGTTCGAACCCGGCCCGTCCCTTGTTCTTTTTGTTTTTATTTTTTTCTTCAGCTCTCATTCTGTCTGGGTCAATACGCTTTTTTCTTGGCTACCAACAAATACTCCTAGATGCATGTCTGTGTGGTCTTTCCTATTTATTGTGCCAGTCAACCTCATTTCCCCGAAAAACTCGCTGTGGCCCCTTTACCAGTATCAAATCTCTCCACTAACACAGAAAATACACCATTCACCCTTTCTTATTCTTGAATAACCATGTTAACTAACATACGTCCCCTTTCCTTTCTATTATTCTTCGCAAGGACAAACTCATACAGATCGGTATAGTATAGCCCTAAAGACCTACGTAGCCAGTCACATGGACCCTCACGTAACTCCACGCAAGTCGTGTAGTTTAGCCCCCAAATATCAGCCAAACTCCCACTTCATTGCTTTCTCTCACTATCAAACTGAAAGTTGAATGTCACAATGAGCGCCGACTACAGCGCAGAGGATCTCGATGCTATCGTTGAGCTGGCTAGCACGGTGCAGCAGCACTTTGTCGATGTCCCAGACCAATATAAGCCCATTTTGGACGAGTGAGTCAATGTAATATAATTCAGTCACAGACAGCTGACAGGCCAACAGTGTGAAGCGACTCCCGAACAAGCTGCGTCAGAATGAAGAGGAGGATTCCGATAGTCCTGTAGGGGAGCAGGGGGAACCTTCTGATGATATCTCTAAAAGCTGTCGTGATTTACTCCACGAGCTAAACACATATCTGGGGCATTTATATGCAACCAAAGCTCTATCACAGCATGAAAAGGGAGGGTTCGTCGATTGCAAGACTACGATAGGGGACACTATCCTCTTCCTCGCAGCGAAGCAAGGATTTACAGAAATTGTCCGGTTCCTCCTGGAACAGGGAATTTCCATTGACCCGAAAGACAGGGCGGGGCGGACTCCCCTGCATCATGCAGTGGTAAAGGACCAGAAAGAAGTAGTTAGGATCCTTCTCGCCGCAGGCGGTGATATAGAGACGACAGACCTGGCGGACCATATCCTACTGATGTTTGCAGCACCCCGTAGCGATAACAGGAAAAACAGGTCGGGCCACACACCGCTGATAGCCGCAATCGAAGCCGGGAATGAGGCGATGGTGCGGCTTCTCCTGGATGCAGGCGCGGACCCAAACCACCACACGGATGATTATGCCCCATTGACGTCTGCGATTAGAGCTCATAGTATGTCCATTTTCACGATGTTGCTCGACAAGGTCTCTGATCTGAACCATGCGGATGGAAGGGGCGAAACCCCGCTCATGCACGCCGCAAAATGGCACAATGGGATGGCGGAGCTCCTCCTAGAGCGAGGAGCAAGGTGGGACGTTGAGAATAGAAACGGTGAAACTGCAATGTCCATCGCTTCGCAACATGCAAATGAACCGCTGCTCAGACTGCTCCTAGAGAATATTCCCGGTCAAGAGTATGTGAATGCAAAGGGCCATGGCTTACTCCACTTTGCTGTAATGAGCAATCGAGAAGGTGGGGATGAATCAATCGTCCGCTTTCTCCTGGCGAGGGAGGGATTAACGCACGACCGGAAAGTCGCGGATGCTCAAAGCGGGCTGCACGGCGCCGCTTGGAGGGGGTATACCGCCATATTGGACATACTGCTAGAGATAGACGGCGTGAGTATTGACGGCAAGGACGAGGACGGCTACACGGCACTCTGGCTGGCTGTTCGATGGGGCCGGGAGGCCACTGTCGAGCTCCTTCTTGATAAATATAGGGCCAGCACCGAAGTCAGTAACGGTGAGATAGAATGGACAGCATTGCATGGAGCGGTTTATCATGAAGAACCGGACATGGCGCGGATGCTCCTGGAGAGGGGTGCTAATCCCAACAGCAGGGACGGCCACGGTCGAACTCCGCTATCCTGGGCGACAAAGATCGAATGGCAAGACTGCATGATGACATTGCTCCAAAAATGGTGCCGTTGCTTCTTGAAGCAGATGGAGTGGATATCGACAGCCGAGACACGATGGGTCGCACTCCCCTGTTCTGGGCTCTCTTATCCGCCATCTATTTAGTGGGCGCCCTAGAGATGGTAGACATGTATGAGGCTAGCATTCAGCTCCTACTTGAGTATGGCGCCAGGGTTGACCACCGTGATGAATCTGGGAGGACCCCCATATTCTACGCCGCAATGGTGAAACGTGCCGCGCTGGTCCAAATGCTCCTGGAGAAGGGCGCAGAACCAGACTGCAAGGACGCTGACGGGAGGACGCCGCTTTCCTATGCAGTGGAACCATTCAACGTTGGTTGGCTCGCGGAGTACAAAGGTGAATGTGAGGACGAATGGGAGCCAGAATGGTCTGGCGACCAGCTGAGCAAGGTGGTTACAGCTCTTCTTGCCCAGGGTGCTGACCCAGATTGTCAAGATCCAAAGGGTCTAACACCACTCTCACGCGCAGAAAAGAAGCTCGAGGAGGGGAATGAGGTTTTGGTTCTGCTCAGGAATGCCTCCGCTCGAGGTTCATGATTGTGATTCAAAAACCGCTTCTAGATAGATTACATAGTGAGGAGTAGTCAACAAACCAACCCAGAACCTACCGATACTCCTCCCACATCCTGCCTCAATAACCGAGCTATATTTACTCGAAAGTGGAGCTGATAAAGGCATGAAGGTATTTCAGCTTCATGATGCACAATAGTGTCTGTTTACTGACTCAGTAAGCTTCTGGCATGCGCCCCCAACTCAATTGCAAGCCACATTCGAGATGTTCGACCTGTTGTTACCCTACTACTTTTGCCATTACGATGTACATATCTCCGCGGACGAAAGTAGTGTTGTTCTGACAAGGGCACCGAGATATGTGCTTTGACCGAAGAATTGAAGCTCGATGCATGCAACACAGATAAACCAAACGCAAAGAGATATTCAAGGCTTTGCGCCTTGTGATCAACTCGAGAATTCAGTGCGACTAGTTTGGTAGCCTACAGTTCGCTTTCAACAAAATATCCCTGGTCAAATATGGTTCTCTGAATGATGATCTCCAGCTCCCTCTCACCAGTTGTAAGCTTGCCATAGCAATCCAAAGCCTGAAATCAGCTTGCAGGGAGCAAATATAAGCTGTCGATGAATTCGGGAAAAGGAGGATGTGCCCCAGCCATCCCTTTTATGCCAGGAATGCGGAAGGGGCCGTTCTCTCTGCCCTCCGCAAAACCTCTGTGAATTGCAATTGTGCAAAGGGCAGACACCGGAAGTCAGTTCCTGCGAAAGGACCAAAACATTTAGTCACCAACTTCATGGAATAGTTGGTAGATATCTGGTGATTGGCTTTGTTGTTGCAGGTACATTCCGAAGGAAGGGGAGGCGTTCGGTGGCTTGCGTTGTTTTGAATTCTCGCGAGAATATGAAAACAAGGGAATAAACACCAAGAAAACCGCAACAGTGAGATGGCACCTGCGGCGATTGAATCCACCTATGAAAACTGCTCCTGTCATGCCACGAGACATGCATATATCATTACAACAAGGGAAACCATATCCTAGCGCATATTGACCGAAGACAGCCAGCACTCAGCAGGTATGCAGTGCGATATGCACAGTCCTCGCAGCAAGGGGTGTGCATATTTTTGCACTCGGATTGGCCTATCCGCATGCAGGAAGAGCGACAGCTGGGCCGACATTCCCAGGACAGCGCGCTGCATTATAAAGATGGCGCGTTTCACGAGCCATTCGAGGATTTTTTTTCTGAGAATCAACACGACACGACACGACCCGACACGACACGGGCTTCGCCACATATCGCCAACATGGTTATGAGGTCATTCAAGTTTTGGGCGTCCAGCCTTCTCTACGCGACACTTCTGAGAGAATGTCACGCTCAACAATCTGATGCCAGCATTGGCTCTGAGCTTGGTGGGAAGCTGTCAAGTGATGCCAGCATTTACTTCCCTGGAAATGATGCGTTCAATAATGCTACTGCGCGCTGGTCGCAGTATGGCAAGCCGAACATCAGCGTTGTTGTGGAGGTTGCGAACAAGTATGATGTTGCCGAAACGGTGGGGTTCTCTCTGGTATTGTAGGCATCGCCATGTGCTGATGAAAACTAGGTGAAATATGCCACCAAGTACGATGTACCATTCATTGCCATCAGTGGGGCCCATGGAAATATTGAGAGCCTGGAAAATGTTCACCAGGGAATTGAGATTTGGCTGCACAAGCTTAACACAGTCGACATCTCGGATAAAGGCGACACTGCCACCTTTGGTGGTGGTATCCTCTCGCACCAGGTTATTGAGGCCTTGTGGGCAGCTGGTAAACAGACCGGTGAGTTCTGATATGAATAATTATCTCGTGGGCATCCGCTGATCATCTTCAAAGTCACCGGTGTCTGTGACTGCACTGGATTCCTCGGACCGGCTCTCGGTGGTGGCCATGGGTACCTGCAAGGACGCCACGGCCTGATCGCCGATAACTTTGTTTCCTTAGAAGTCGTGACTGCTGATGGAGAGATTCGGACCGCGACACGAAAAGGGCCCGAGTCCGACCTGTTCTGGGCGATGCAGGGCGCTGGTCACAACTTTGGCATTGTGACCTCCGTCACCCAGAAGATCTACGACGTCCCGAACGATGGCGTTTGGGCCTTTGTCAAGCATACCTACACCCAAGACAAGCTGGAGCTTCTCTTCCAGTACCTTAACATCCTCGGAGATAGTGGCAGACAGCGCGTTGACGTGATGTACTGGGCTACCATTTCCCGCGACGCGGAGCTGGATCCTGTCAACGTAAGTCACTGATCCCTATCGCAAGATGCCCATGAGACTAATCGTGGATTGCTAGCCCATCATCGACATCTTCGTCCTGCAGGAGGGCGTCGCAACCCTGGATGAAACGGTATCGGTGTCTCTACTTAACTTTGCTCCTGTGAAGACCGTCACCCAGTCCGGCCCGTACGCGGACATTACCAAATGGACAGAATTCGACATGAGCTCGCGCACCTGTGAGAAGGGTGCCGAAGGCCCCCAAATCGTCCGTTTCCCCATCAACCTGAAGAGCTACAACTTGGAGGCGCTGCGCACCGCATTCAATGCCTTCGCCGAGGAAACCGTTGCCAACCCCGACTTCCAACATTCTACTATCATGCTCGAGGGATACTCCAACCAAGGCGTCCAGGCCATCGACGAAGCCTCCACCGCTTACGCTCACCGTGCTGACACCATCCTTGTCTCCTCTGTCATCATCTTCGAGAATGCGACGGACCGGGCTGCAGCTGATGTCTTCGGCGATCGCGTGCGCGATATCTTCCACGAGGGCAGCGGGGAGTCTGAGAAGCACGTGTACGTGAACTACGCATCTGGCGACGAGCCGCTGGAGACTATGTACGGATATGAGCCATGGAGACAGAGCAAGCTGTCCGCGTTGAAGAGGAAGTACGATCCTGACAACAGATTCGGATTTTATGCCCCTATCCCTGCGGCGGACTGGTAGATATTGTACAGTTTTGATATTTTGCATCTTGCATAGTGTTGCTGGTCTGATTTTCATAGTATCTTCGTTATACGGAAGTAATGTATAGTCTAATTGTTAATTTGGACGTTAATCCCGAAGAATCATTTCTACTGCATTGATACGTCACCACATAATCTGTCAGGCTGAAATCAGCTCCCTGTATATGTACAAGAGAACATTTCCATGAATGCAAACTCAAGTAGAGAACGCTGTGGAAGAGCGCTCAACAAACATATGCACCGGGAGTTTGACAAGCAATCTCTATACGAGTCAAAAGATAGAATGAATCCTCTCGCTCCTTAATACTGTCTGCACCGTCTCCCTTCCTTCAACCCTTCGCGCTAGCTGCGTAAATTTGGCATACACTTGCATGTCAATCTCTGCCGTGACTCCCCATCGATAAGCAAAATACAAGAAGGCATCGGCAGCAGTAAAGTCCTCCCCAACGGCATACTCCCCGGCTAACCTCTCCTCAATCAACGCAAAACAACTCCGTAAGATCTCTAATCCCCTCCTTTTAACCATCTCCAAGTCCTTCTCCTCCGTCGAAGCGGTCCACCGCCCCGGCCTGAAGACATGGCTAATACCCCCGGCATGCACCGTTCCTGCTACATAATTCATCCATTCGTGAACCCGGGCTGTCTCGATCGGGGTGCGGCCCAGGAGGTGTGCTTCTGGTGCCAGGCTGGAGATCATCGTTGAGACGGCCGGGACTTCCGTGATGACCTCGTCATCGAGGGTGATGACAGGGACGCGGCTTTTAGGGTTGATTCTGCGGAAGCTCTCGGGGAAGCTGAGGTCGGTTCCTTCCATTTCGATTCGGATGGCTTCGAAAGTGGCCTTTGTTTCATGGAGGAGGATGTGTGGGATGATGGAGCAGGCGTCCGGAGAGTAGAAGAATTTGATATTGGGCATTTTGGGCTGGTGCGTTGGGTGTTTTACTCGAGTATGGTATGACTGTGAGTTGGGTTGGGTTGAGGTGTGAAGCTGAGAAGTGCTGAGCGGGGTTCTTATCTTAAATACTAGCTATCTGGTGTTGGACTATCAATTTAGGATCTGTCCAAGCCCTCGAAAGTGACTCATCGTGGAAAACTACTTCCGCTATCACTCATTTCCACCACTAAAGTGCGCTATACATAGCGTCCCTGGTCTTGTTTCATTTTAGGTGTCTATGATCATGGACAGACATTATAAATCTTTAACCATGCCACCACTAAAAACATTAACCGGGTCGAGTCTGCCTTTCAAGCGCCTGAGCCTTTCTGCAGCTTGCATACCAAAGAACTGCTCCACGTCGATCTGTTTCGGCGGGAAAAAGCTCGGAAATCCCCCGTCCAACGCCAGCCCACGTTCTTCAATCTCTTTTCTCAGCCTTTTTGCCCAACCAGAGGCCGCTGCAATAGTATCAGAGCCAACCTCTACACCGGCATATGTTCCCCCATGGAACCCTAGGATGACATGCGGGAATCTACTTGGAAAACATGCGCTAAAACCAGGCGTTTCCATCCTTACGCCCTTGCCATGATTGTTGTGGATGACAACTGCTGATAGCGGGTGGATTGGGGGATGGTGTGAAAAGATTGCTCCGACCTGAGAATTCAGTCCTCGAATATTCCTACTGCAGAAGAATGTAGGAGACGACGAGTCTCCGATGCCATAAGCTGCCGCAGTGGCTAGTGTGAAAAGATTAGCAGTAAATACTTCCAGAGGATAACAACATACGAGGAATATCAAACATACTCTCTTCAACAGTATTCGCCAGCACCGTACCCAGACCCATCACTTTCCGAAGAAAGGCCTTCGCTGGCTCTAGATCCCCATCCACGGCAGTCCAACACCAGAAGAATGTAAAACAAGGCTCCGAAACAACTCCCTGCAACATATCCGGATGTGCAACAATACCGTCCCCACTAAACTCGTCAGGAAGGCCTTCCGCAGCAAGTTTCTCAAAGCCTTCCAAGACTGTAACCGCACTGGAAAGCGGAAAGGCTAAGTAGCCCGCATACAGCTTCGGTGCTGGATACACCCTCACCCTTAGCTCCACTATAACACCAAAGTTGCCAGCCCCTGCTCCCCGCAGAGCCCAGAGTAGCTCCTGGTCATCGTCGGTGTCGATGATAGCCCCACTTGCCACGGCAACTCTTGCACCGAGGATCTGATCCACACCGAATCCATAAGTCCCGACGTAGAATCCATATCCGCCGCCACAGGCCCAGGAAACGTAGCCGACGGTTTTCGATTGGCCCGTTGGTGTGAAAAGCTGGTGAGCGGCCAGAGACTGTTGTAATGTTCCTGCAATGACTCCGCCGCCCACACGTGCACTGGCCCTGTCTGGGGAAATGAGGATGGAATCCATAGCTCGCATGTCGATAACGATCCCGTCAGCGACTAGTGAGCGACCGAAGAAATCGTGGCCCCCAGAGCGGATAGCGAGAGGGATATGTTCGGCGGAGCATACTTGCACAACTTGCGAGACTTCTTCCTCGGTCCGGGGGCGGACGATAGCTAAGGGCTGATCCCCGAGGGCACGGTTATAGGATACACGGTAATGCTCGAATTCTGGGTTTGATTTTGTATATATCCGAAGAGTTGGGGTGAGCCTCGCTAGTTCTTGAATAACTAGTGCTTGGTGCTGGTCCATTGGAACGGAGCGAGTGAAGATGGCTCACATGCTAGGTCCTGGTCTGTCACCAATACTTATTATATGCTGGTGGCAAAGACCGATCTATCTTTCTAACCTATGTCTGCAAAACATTGCCTAGGGTTCTGGGCTCTTCCACCTAGCGCGCCGACTATTGCGTTGTTTGTAATCGACGGTGATATGACCTACGAGGCGGATCATACTAGTCGGAGCCTGTGAGAGCTGGAGCTCACTGTGGAGTATATGCACGTTGGAGATTTCAACCATCATTACTCTGGATCAAATAGTTGGCACTGTGTACTTCCTTTTGGTCGACCCAGTTTCCACCAGGGCCCACTTGACCTTCCGTATTTGGCCAGAATGCGAGCAAGTGGGTCTTTGATATTAAAAGAAACTCGGAGTTTGCAACCATTTTGTAGTAGGTAGAGATTACAACATGGGTGAATTTTACTACCATTCTCTCGTGTTGTTGTTCCTTACTGATTGTGAACGCTCACACACGGAGTCAAGGCCACGAGAAGTCTAAGGGATACTCAGATATGGTTGAATGTCCGATATGCCAAAAGACTGTTCTTTTGGCAAAAATCAACCACCACCTCGACTCTGGATGCAAAGCATTCTATGAACCTGTGTCATTCTCTAATCAGCTATCTCTTGAATCAGATCCGGGATGCGGTCATCCCTCCAACGCCTCATTCACGGATGCGGTTGACCATAAAAAACAACTTGATAATGCCCAACCTATCATACCGACTGCCAGGCCACGGGTCAAAGAACGTACGAAGAGAAAATCCGGCCAGCATAAGAGCTGCAAGGAAGCGAAAGAGGATTATACGACGGAACATACAAGGAAATCACCCAAGCCCGACAAGGCACCGTTGGCGGAGCGTGTTCGCCCTAGATGCTTTGACGATATTGTCGGCCAGAGTCACCTTGTAGGACTTGATGGGACTATCCGCCAACTTGTTCAAGATGGCAACATTCCCAACATGATACTCTGGGGGAGCTCGGGAACTGGCAAAACCACCATCGCCCGCATTATTGGGTCTGTCTCGAGGAGACGATTCTATGAGATCGGCAGCACAATCACGACAGTGACGGAGTATAGAAGTATCATTGCAAAGGCCTCGAAGGACTTGGACACAGAGCGAAAACCGTCTATTGTGTTTTGCGATGAGATACACCGTATTACCACGCTACAGCAAGACATACTCCTCGATACCATCCGCAACGGTCGTATTATTCTGATTGGAGCTACGACAGAGAATCCATCATTGACAATCCGGCATGGCCTCGTCTACAAGTGTACAGTTTATACACTCACCAAGCCGAAAGACACGGACGTACGGAATATGCTTCATCGAGTAGTTGGAGAATGGGACTTACACTCGCACCTCCTGGATGATGGGTTTCTTGGATATCTGTCAAGCTTCGCCGATGGCGATTGTCGATTGTCGCTGAACCTCCTGGAGATGGCGCACGACTTGTCTAAACGAGACGGAATGACCGGAGAAAGGTTGAGAAATTCACTCACAATGCATCTAAACTACGACCGCTCGGGTGACCAACATTACGACACTATCTCGGCCTTCCACAAGTCAATCCGAGGCAGTGATGCCGATGCTGCACTGTATTATCTCGCGAGAATGCTGAAGTCTGGTGAAAATCCACTATTCATCGCGCGCCGTCTTATTGTAGCAACATCGGAGGACATCGGACTTGCGAACAATGTCTTGCAAACATATGCAACTTCGGTATACTCCGTACTCGAGAAGCTGGGCATACAAGATGCACAGGCCTCGCTGGCGCAGCTGGTTGTTATGGTGTGCTTATCGAAGAAGAGCACTCGCTCCTATAGAGGCTTGAATAATGCTTTTGCTTGTCTGAAAGAGCCTGGGGCTGTTGATGCGTCTATTCCATATCACCTTCTCCCTATTAGTTTGGAAGTCAAAACGATGGTTGAAGAAGATACTACCAATCCTGCAAGGTATAAGAGAAGGAAAATGAATCTTTTACCTGAATGCCTGGAAGGTCGGAAGTTCTTAGAGGATACTGATTTTTTGTTCAAGAGAGACCCTGACCTTGCCTAGTGATAATCTGTTGGCACATACTTATACTGCTTCACACTTCGTCAATCGGTAATCAATATTCACCCGAGTAAGGGAGACATTTAGGCCGTGAGCTATTCTCAGTAATAGTAGATTCAGATCTGCTGCTCACCAGAGATCCACCATACTGTATAGCTATGGACACGAGCGCATATATTATTAATATCTGGTGGCTATAGCTACTTATCTCCTTCTAAATCCTGGAAAGAAACGTAAACCTGTACCCGTTATTTCTTGGAAAAGTACAACAAATGAACAGTGGACTTACCTGGAGCCTGTGGCGCAGATGTGGTGACCCACTTGAGCTTCCTATTTGGTACAGAACGCGAGAACTTGATAAAGCCCTAAGAAAGCTAGGAGAGGATTAATAATGCTCATTGCGAGCTTCAAAAAAGATTCTTTTGCACCCCTCTGGTTTTAGCAATCCGTCAAACATTGATGCTCCTATTCCGGGTGGAGAGAGCTACTAACCGATTGACAAAAACCATCGTATACATATTGATTCGTCAGGTCCCTCCCAAACACACAAAGCAATCACAATGGAAGTAGTCAAGTTAGACTCAAGTGATATGTCACGCTTCTCCGACTTCATGATCCTCACTACAACCTACAAAACCGTACACGGGCACCAAATCACAACGGATATTCTTTACCCTAAGACTTTATCGCCGCCATCGAAGAAGACGCAGAACACCATCAATTGCCCTGTCCTTTTGCGATACCATGGTGGTGGTCTCATCTCCGGCTACAGTCTTTTCCCATCCTTCTTTAACCCCTGGTACCTGGAGCTCTCGAAGGAGTACTCCGCCATCATTGTGTCTCCAAATTATCGACTACTTCCAGAGGCCACAATCTTTGATATACTGGAAGATGTCGAAGATCATTGGAACTGGATGCACAAATTCCTCCCACAGTTCCTAGAGGAGCACACCCAAGGAACCATACAGCCTGACCTCAAACGCATCCTCACGGCAGGGGATAGCGCCGGAGGCTACCTAAGCCTTCAAGTGGGACTGAGCCATCCCGAACAGATCCGGGCCGTCAATGCAGTCTATCCTCTGGTCGATATCAAATCCCCTCACTTTATCGACCCGACGGAAAAGGTGGTGTTTTCAATGCCTGCAACACCACGAGACACCCTAGTGCGTCATATTAAGCAAACCTGCGAACGAGAAGAGGCAACTAATCAGAAGGTTGTCGTTTCGGCACCTACGGATGCGAAGAGAACTCAATTGATGTTTTCAGTCTGTCAGCATGGGCTGTTTGGGCAGTTCTTTCCGGCTGATGCTATTGAACTTTATCCTCTTGAGAGACTTGATGCAGGTGCTCGGTTCCCGCGAGGAGGAGTCTTGGTGCTTCACGGACGCAATGATTCTGTTGTTCCGGTGGAGGGGAGTTATATGCTGAGGGATAAGATCGAGGAGGTTGATAGTAACTTGCAGTTCCAACTTGTTGTCAGGGATGGCGAGCATGGCTTTGATCATTCGGCTAAATTGCACGATGCTTGGCTGTGGGAGGCTGCTCAGGGTGTTATTCATTCCTGGCTTGCGTAGTGCCTTAGCGAGATGCGAGTCCATGGGGTACTGTGTCCATTTTAGTAATGGGAGTTATGAACAGACATTTTTTCCTCTTACTGTATATCTTCTCTTCAAACACGATGTAGATGATCGACGACTGTGGGCCGCCAAGACGAGGTAGTTTCCGATCCCAACCACGTTTGCTGGGATGATTTATTCTTTTCGCCACAGACACTTGTCCTGTAAATCACACCACACGCAGCTAGACTAGGGACGAGGCCTAGCCGACGGCAACGATGTCGTCCTTCCGCGTACGCTTTGAACCGGTCAAATGCTTGTCTCCAACGAGACAAGAACGATTTCAAGACGAAGGGCCGACCGCGCCAAGGCGAAGGCCTAAAAGCAAACTAGGATGCCGAGAGTGCAAAGCAAGGCGGGTCAAATGTGACGAGACTTTTCCGGTATGCTTGCGCTGCGTCCGTCGCGGTTTAATTTGCTCTTCGACGCCTCGCCTATCGCAATGGCAAATTGAGACGCGTTGGTACTCATCACAAGTGGACACCATCGTCAACCGGCGGCTCCTGCAATACTGGCTGGAAAGAGTGTGTCAAATACTAGTGATCGATCCAGAAAACAATCCGTTCTCCTTCCCTGTCTTGGAATACATACAGGAATCTCCGGCACTGGTGCATATCATCCAGTCCGTAAGCGCCCGTCATGAAGAGTATTTCTCGGCAGAAGTGGCACGCATTGCTCTCGAGGAGAGGGGGAAAGCGCTGGCATCGTTCCAAGAGGAGCTAGGGACTGGGCAGACGCGACCACTACTGTCAATGCTTACTGCATTGCTACTGGCGATATCGCATGGAGCTGATCGGGATATGACTGATTTTGGGAAATGGCATCTGCTTGCCGCGCGCACGTTGATCAATGAAATGCTCGAGGATACAGCGCATCCTTGGGATCTGAATCCGTTATCTAGACTTTGCCTGGGTATGTATCTGTATTGGGATATGGGATGTTCGTACCTCGTGCATCCAGACGAACAACAAGATCTAGATACACCAGGTCTATCATTAGCCGTGCAACAAATTGGCCATTGGCATCACCCGATGGTATGGATTTTGTACAGACCTTATCTTCATCCTGGGAAACCTGGGCCGGTACTGTCGACAACTCATCCATTCAGGATGTCGATCGTTCACCCGAGAGACACTGCTGGAAAACCAGTTGTATATGTGGGGCGCACCCTCAACCGAGCCTACTTTGACGCTTCTGTATGAGTCACTGCGAAAGCATGGATTAATTCTGCTATATCGGATCTGCGGATGGAATGATGCCTTCACGAACCCGTGTCTTGAGGAGATGGATCTGGAAACTTTGATCCATCGTTATGCTCTAGACACTATCGATCACCTTCTCCAAATCCCAGCATCCTCAAATTATCTGAACTTCCAGTCTATCCCAATTCTCACAGCTGGCTCAGAATTGAAGAGAGACGATAGCAGGCTGAGAGATGATGTTCGGAATCGACTTCGCGCTTTGTATTCTGTGAATCGATTGCCAGCGAACCTCCACGCTCTTGAGCTTCTTGAGGACATTTGGATAGCCCGTGATACTAATGATGATAAATTATCTTGGATCCAGCATATGCTGCGGAAAGGATGGTTGTTGGTCCTTGGGTGACAGTATGGAATGCTTGCGAAGGCAAAAAGGGGAAGGACTGATGATAAATAGAGCGCTTACGCTATGACATTCGATTTGAAGTAACATATATTAATTGTTAATTAGGAGTTTCAGCGAGTGATGTTATTATGGTACCAAGTTTGACACAACTCTCTTACAATAGTGTAGACAGTATGGACGCATCCATGTATTGCAGGTATGAACCCTGACTCCCGAATATACCGACCTCTAAACAAAGTCCACATGGAATGGCCCACCCGATAAGGCCAATGGTTCTTTGTTCGCTGCGGCATGTGTTTCATCAGTGTGGGAAATTCCCGGCTAGATTTATTGTTGGATAATTATCCTAGGTATGTTCTGTGGGAGATTGCCTCCATCGCCATTTCCTCTTACTACACTCGCCTCCTTGTGATTTCGGGCTGGAATAGTCCAGATCAACACTGAGTAATGCCGATAGGCGTACTCAATAGACCAGAGGTAGGGGAATACCAAAAAATATCACTGAATGTTCCTCGCTGTGATTGATCTAGTACAAAGCTGCTGCATCGTTCCAGCTGGAATTCAACATACAGTCATTCGATGAACCCAGGATTAACCGGGCAGCTCCTGTAGAAGATGGTGAGTAGAAGTTAGTGACTTGAAGGTGTGCCTATATATTCTTCTCCTGACTTCTACTTTGCAAGATCTTGTTTACTATTCCATAGTGATCACTTTACTCAAACCCCGGATTTGAACTGACTACTTTGTATTTTCCATTCTCGAACATACACTACAAATCAAGACTGGTGTAATAGCCTTTTTTATGCATCATGCCTCTGTCAGTACCACAATCTGTGGGAATCTTTGAGAATGTCAGGTCACTTTTTGAAGCAGCCAAGGGGGATTCAGTATACTCCAATAGCTTTAGAAAGGAACTGCTTCTGACAGGACAATACAAGGCTAGGATAGCTACAATTGTGAAGGAATATGGCAAACAAAACGACCCTCCGCCACTGACATCGGTGAGTGTTCTGGGACCCTGCACCGAGCCGCCGCCGGCTGTCGTGAAAAAGATCGAACTCAGTCAAGAAGGTAAGTAATTCTCTCTATCAATACTAGCCCTTTCAGACGTTTCTGCTACGCTTTGTTTTAATTCAGAAGGAAATAACATTTTGAAAGATTTAGAAATGTTTAAAGAGATAGGCCAGTGGGACGACAACCGGCACTTCACAACCACTTACCAGTGGGAATTTCCGGACTACCTTGAGAAGGTTGCTTTACCACTTGAGAGAACGACCTTCAAGAGAACCCGGTATCATGTTGATGTAGCAACTTGCGAAGAACGACTTCAACATTCGGGCGGTGATTGTTTGGTTTATCTGATGAAACTTTTGATCAAATTGGCCAGACACCATGACGACAAACTTGGGTGCAGCATACACCGTGAGTTAACCAGTGAAATAGTTGCTCAGTATCAACATCTGATCCTGTCTGCAGTGCAACATATATCAACCGAATACATATTACTTCTCGCTCTACATGACCGAATCATTGTCTCAGTGACCAGAGACCTTCAGCAGGTGGTAAAGAGCATGATGACGTGGGTATGTGGAACATTTCGAAGGTCCGAGGGAAACGGTCTTTGCTTCTCTGGTGTGTCTTTTGATGGCAAGACTTCAGTAGTTAGCCTGAATGTCTTGGAATGCTTGTCTGACATGCATGATATCCACTTCTTGGCTCGGAAACTATTCCCTAAAGACATTATTATATTCATCAGGAAAGAATATAAGAGCAACTACCACCAGGTTCTCACAATGAGTTGCAAAGAATTGCTGAAGTGTGCAAATCATCCAAAAAAGTTTCGACTTCCTGAAGGCCGCGGAGTTATTTATATGGGAGATTCTATGGCACTGATCCCCATAGAGTGGGATCATGATAACAAATCGCTCATTTGGGACTGCAGGCTTATCCCCAGCAAGGAGCTTGTTGCCAGCCCCGAGGAAAAGGACAACTATGCCAAGAACAGACTCATACCCAGTCTTTCACCAGACAATGTCAGATGGGAGCGTACATACCTTGATACGACGCGTGATGAGGAAATACAAAAAACACCCGCACAGGTGTTTTTCGGGAATATACCGGCAATTCATACACCGGATCCTCCAGTCATCTACTAAGATGTCTGCGATGATGACGGCATTGATTTATTGAGTCATCGTTATCCAAATTGTTACTTGTAGGTACTGTCTTAGCCTATGTTTGTGCACACGTCGGTCTATAAGATTTTACCGCTCAAAGGAATAAAATTCTTCTATCAATGAATCGTTCAGTGGACAGCTAAAAATACTGTGAAACGACAAGTTGTAATGGTTACAACGATTCCCAAAGAGCGTCTATTCAACAAAGCATGGGCGGTGTTATCGGACAGCCTTTGACGCGCAAATGTCTACACTTTGTTGCGTGACATTGTGTTTGCATATGAATATATAGTCCTTTGTCTAGAAAGCCGTGTCTCTTGTAAAATATAGCCTTTCATCTCTTGAGTGACAACAGGAGCAATGCTTCTATGAACCTGACAATGGGATATGAGTCCAGTACTTCAGGTACGCATGGACCATCGTACTCGTAGGAACAACGTTCGAGCAGTCAGGGCACGGTCATCTGTGGTCGATGACAAGATATGGTAACCATGACCATTAGTCAAGCTACTAACGAAACATTATCCTGTTACCCAAGCAGGACTGGATACCCGGAGTGGCTTGTGCACGGTGGCTCCGTAAGTCTGGCAGGTGTATAAGAGTGAATGGCATAGATTGCTCCGAATGCACACCCGTCTAGCGGTAGCGATGGGATCGAGTGATTAGTACCTGGACAAAGGGCGAAAGGCTGAAGAAGTAAGCGCGGGCCTCGGAGATAAGGATTTCACGCCTTCCGTTTTCCATCTTGTTTGAGGACCAAAGTCAACTACAGAGGACTCACGGTAGCCTAGTGTGGCAGCACAGAGGACGAAAGCCCTAGGAATAGACTCGCTAGCTCCCCTGCAGCAAGAACACCAGTGCCTGTATCACCATGAGTTTGATGCGACGTGCCGCAGTTCGCATGGCAGACAAATTCTACGGACATACTGGACCCCACCACAAGTTAACCGACCTCGCTACGTCGAGTTGATTCGCACGATCTGCACCGCAAAAGCGGCAAAAGCCGCAAGCGGGTCGGGTAGAGTCAGCATGCCTCCGAAGCCTCACCGAACGGGTCCAGGCCTGACATCATCGGGATACACTGCTAAAAACAAAAAGAAAATTAAAGAAAAAGAATGAAAGTAAGTAGGGAAATTGTTCCAGGCAACCTGACATCCAGAGTGATTCTAATTTTTTTTTTTTACATAATCACGGTCTATTAGCTCCACAGAAATTTGACTGATTCTCATAGCAACCATACTCCGTATCTCCTGTAAAAGGCAGTTCGATAGTGAAAACAGACTCAGTACGAACTTTACCTCTACCTAGTTACATTGATACCACTGAACAAAATTACACGAACCAGTCAAAGATGGTGGATATGTATACCTATTTCAGTAATTGGTAGCAGCGATCCGTCGCATATAATTTCATATAGATAGGAAAAAAGTTTAAACCATTGCACGCGAGTGCTCGCGTAAAAACCTCAGCCTATAATCGACGGGGCCGAGCCTCTCGGCATTCTGGGCATAAGGTTGCCAAGCATAAGTAAATCATTACGAATTTACGATTTTTCAGCGGTTAACAAGGGTACAGAAATATGGTACCACTTTGCTCCAGGATCCACTACCTACCCCAATACTCACCCCCAGAACTCATGGGACCCTTTAATTACCTCAAAAGTTTACTAATTCGTAGAGCTCTTTAGTAAGAGTGTAGTACCGATACCCTTATTCTACATACACTAGTGCTCAGCAAGAGATATGTAGTGGGGGTTGCGTTACATTTATTTCTTACAGTAAAATGCCATAGGAGATAAATTTTACGGAAGTGCTCCGTAGACTGCATCCTTCGTACAGGCTATATAGCACATGTTGCAGGGGTTAAATCCTGCAACTCTCGATCTTGTGAGGTCTGTACCAAGATAGGCCTAATTGCCAAGGCCTGGCCCCTCTAGTCTAATCTTATCGATCCATCTAATCTGATGCCGGCGCTTAGCGCCAAGATGGTATTGTCAGGAGAGTATTTACCTACGTAAATGACAAACTGTATCATTGGTATCGGGTCATATTGAAACATTACCAATATTGGCCAAAATTGACTTTTTGCCAATTCCAACTACTCCATTTATCGTTCCACTCACGATGGCTCCTTTAATCATCACACCTGCCCTCCCTTATATTCCGTTTCATATAATCCGTACAGCGTGTGCGATGCTGACCTCGAAACGCTGTCCAATCTTTGTCTGGTCTAAGGAGTAACCTGGCTCCAGTATCGGTGGCAGTGCTCGTCCAAGGCTGAACAACTCCGTATGAACTGAGTCTATAGTAGTGAGCCTTTTTAAAATCTGGAATGGCTGTGGCAGCGCCCTCTAAGTTGGATGTGCGAAACTGCTACTAAGAGCTCGAATGGGTCCGAGGCCCTGATCCTACCAAGCGTGTCCTCTCCACTGGTCCACGGGTTTCGACCGTATCGTCTGACCTGGGAAAGTGTCGGTTGATCATCCTTATCAATCACGCAAGCTAACATAGTCGATGGTTTTACGGCATTTTTACCAACCAAACCGAGCTTTGTCTCCTCCAAACCCTTGGCACCATGCTGTATAGTCAGGTAGCGAGATGTTTGACCCATCCTTAGGGAGTGAAAAAGACGGCCGCCAGCGGCATCGCTGAATCTTATCAGATTCTCTCTCTGTGGATTAATCGACGGCTGCAAGAAATGCAGGCAAGATCGTCGGCGAGGGCCAATGAACATTGCGAATGCACAGGGACATGAGCATACATCCTTTATCCAGAATGGCTTGGCCCCAAGGAAGACTGACTATCCACTTGGAGTAGATCAACAGTAGAATTGAGCCTACTGTCGTTTCTTTACAGTACAGTCAAACTGGGGCTTAGCAAACTTGCAAACCTGCTCCGAGAGCCAGATCGTAAGTATATAAGGAGGTAGTGAACATGGCGCAAAAGCTTGAGTCGTACAACCATATCTGCAAGGAGAACAGAGCCTCTGCACATAGCTAGCCCACAATATACTTCCTCCTATGGCTACCATGACCCAAGTAGCTTTGCGCACTGAGCGCCTCGAACTGGTGCCCCTCGGCCCTGAGCACCTCGACTTCACCATGATGCTGGACAAAGATCCGGAAGTCATGAAATACATCGGCTTTGGCACGCCACTTGACCACAACCAAGCGATCGAGGTTCACAAATGGCTCCTCCACGCAGCAACCCTCGTACCCGGTTTCGGCTGTTGGGTCGGCTTCGCCGGCGGCGAATTTGTTGGCTGGTGGGTACTGGCTCCTAGCCAAACCGAAGGCACACAGGAATTCAGCAGTGAGCGAGCAGAGTTTGGGTACCGTCTTTTACCGAAGTTTTGGCGGAAGGGCTACGCGAAGGAAGGATCGCGCGAGTTGCTGAGGTACGCTTTCCGGGAATTAGGTCTAACTGAGGTGTTTGGCGAGACGATGGCTGTGAATGTGGCTTCTCGGGCAGTCATGGCAGCTTGTGGGCTAAAGCATGCCTCTACCTTTCACAACAAGTACGATAACCCACCTCCTGGCATTGAAGAAGGCGAAGTGCGGTATCAGATTACCAAGGATGAATGGGTGTCGTTGGTCCCTGTACAATAGTTGTTCCCAGTCCTTGTGTCAAGTCAATTGAATCTGGGATATTTGGGCTACAAGAACATTCTAACCCTCAATGAAATAATATGACCACGTCAAATCTAGACATAATGGCTCAACAGATTTTTCATCGCCCTTGTTGGGGGGCCACATGCCTCTCAGAATCTCCCTTGCTTCTGCTCGGTTATTACAGCTCCGTCTAGAGAGCCAAGGCCGAATGGTGCAATCTGCCAAGGCCCCTCCACTGTAAGTTGGTCAGTAGTGCTCTGTTCTGGGCTCTGAATCAGCTTGGCTGGGAGTAACGAACTTGGAACGCTGTAGTACCCGGGCCACATAACAATAACATGGCGGAGTTCGCTCGAGCCCTAACTACCATCAGCTGTGGTTAAGTATTGTGCAGCTTTTAGGTGAGACTCTTACAGCAACCTGGGCTATATCAAGGCAGCCTGGTAATAGTGCGCTTTTAGCTTGGAGCTAGGCGTAATCTTGGGACTTGGCTGCTCGTATTGAGTTGTAATAGCGTTGTATGCCAACCTATCACGGACACATGCTAGAATGTTTCATCCATGCTTGCCTGCTTGTTAATTTTTCTTAATTTCTCATTTTTGTTCGGCGTTCACTCCGTTCGTGTGCTCGTTTTCATTGCTTTTTAGGCCCTTGTGCGAACGTGCGTCTCGACAAGTCAAGAGACCGCCGTAGCTCCTTTCTGCTGTGTAGTTGCAGACCTCGTCTTATCACGACAGGCACGGAAGGTAAATTTCAAAGCGTCAGAAGCCAAGTCGAGATCCTGGTGGGAAATGTGCATGGATACACGCCACATATGGAGGACCAGCCAGCGTCGAATCACTTGACATATTGTCACCCCACGTCCGAGCTTCTGTGTGCTAATGGCCCAGAAAGCCGGATCTAATCAATCAATCAGATAAATTTGACCCAAGAAATTTCCGAACGGTCTCCCCGGTTCGCCCCGTATGAGCTGATTCTCGAATCAGTGCCCAAACTGCCGATCTCGGTGAACATGGACCACCCGGCTAATCTTACTTTTTATCAGATGAGATTAAAATTCTATTTTTTTTCCTTACCAGCTGATGCGTGAAGCTGCAAGGGCTACCGTTTGGCTGGGTCTGCAAACCGGCTTTAAAGCTTCGGCTCTTCGCTCTTTTATCATTCGCTTTCCGTTGCGTGCTCCTTGCGTCTTCATCGGGTCGATCCAACAACGATGGCAATCAGCAATAGGTTTCAACATCTTATTGGACGTAAGACGTCCAGCGGCACTCATGACGCTCCTGCTGTGGAAGATATCGAAACTCCGGTAGCCGTTAATGCAGCTCCATACGACAAGGAGGCTGGCATCGGCTCACCTCAGAATAACACGGAAAGCAGTGGTGATAACTCATTGCCCACTGAAGGCGCACAGCGTGGTGTCAAGGATATCGAGGCTGTCACTCTGGCTTGGTCCAAGACAGCGCTCGCCACTACTCTGATAATGTATTATCTCCCTTCCTCCCCAATGACGTTCTCCTGTGCTCGTATATAACTAATACAACCCGTTCTCGATAGCATTTGGATTTATGTCCTGGCTAATGGATTTAAAGCCTCAATTATTGCCAGCTTGACACCCTATGCCACGAGTAGTTTCCAGTCTCACTCCCTGTTGACTGTCATCGACATTGTAGCAAGTGCCATGACATCAGCGGTGTATATCCCTATGGCCAAGATGCTGGACGTCTGGGGTCGTGCTGAAGGTTTCATCTTTATGCTGGTCATTGCCACTTTGGGCCTAATTCTTATGGCGGCATCCAACAATCTTCCTACCTTCTGCGCAGCACAGGTAATATGGACCCCTTTTGAACTATTGGAGCCCTTGGACTTACTAACCGTCACACCGATACCAGGTTTTCCAATCAGTTGGGTTTGGAGGCATGACTTATACCGTGGATATCCTCGCAGCCGACGTAACTAACCTGAGAAATCGAGGGTTGGCGTTCGCTTTCACCTCATCTCCATGGATGATCACTGCGTTTGCTGGATCCAAAGCAGCAGAAGAATTCTTAGCACACGTCAACTGGCGATGGGGCTTCGGCTGCTTTGCTATCATTATACCCGTGGTCTCCCTGCCGTTATACCTGACGTTGAAGATCAACCTTCGCAAGGCCCAGAAGAAAGGCCTTGTCAAACACGAAAAGAGTGGCCGAACCCTGGTACAGAATATATTACACTACCTTGTAGAGTTTGATTGTAAGTGGCCAACGCTGCCCTCCCCCAAAGCCCTTGGACTTGCTAACTTCTTTTTACAAACAGTGCCGGGTGTCATCCTGTTCGCTGCTGGTCTCACCGTGTTCCTACTCCCATTCACACTCGCCCGCTCTGCCCCGAACGGCTGGAAGTCAGACTACATTATTGCCATGATTGTAGTCGGCTTTGTCCTTCTCGTTCTCTTCGCCCTTTATCAAGTGTACCTGGCTCCCGTGCCATTCATGAAACATACCTACCTGCTCAACCGGACCGTCTTGGGTGCATGTCTCCTCGACTTCGTATACCAGATGGCTTACTACTGCTGGAACAGCTACTTCACCTCCTTCCTTCAGGTGGTCAACAACCTCAGCGTCGCAGAGGCCGGATACGTCAACAGCACGTTCCAGGTTGTCTCCGGCGTGCTGCTGTTCATCGTGGGCTACTTGATCCGCCGGACCGGCTACTTCAGATGGCTCCTGATCATTGGCGTGCCTCTCTACATCTTTGCCCAGGGTCTCATGATCCACTTCCGTCAGCCGAACGGATACATTGGGTACATCGTCATGTGTGAGATCTTCATCTCCGTCGGCGGTAGCGTCTTCATCCTCTGTATGCAGCTTGCAGTCCTCGCCGCTGTCGACCACCAACACGTCGCCGCCGCAATGGCCGTGCTGTTCGTGTGCGGTGGTATCGGCGGTGCAGTGGGCAATGCCATCTCCGGTGCCATCTGGACAAACACCTTCGAGAAAGCGCTTGTGCGCTATCTCCCCGAGTCTGCGCTGCCGGACCTAGCCAATATCTATGCCAGCTTGCCGGTGCAGCTCAGCTATGCAATTAATAGTCCCGAGAGAATCGCAATCCAGAAGGCTTATGGTTATGCGCAGACGAGAATGTTGGCCGCGGGCACTGGGCTTATGGCTCTTGCTTTCGTCGCGGTGTTCATGATCCGGAACATGAACCTGAAGAACATGACGCAGACCAAGGGTGTTGTGTTCTGATGCTCTTTTGTTGGCCGGAGGTGTGTTGGACGAAGGTCTGGTGGATTGCGTGGTGTGTGGTGTGCGTGGTCGCTCTTGTCGAGCTTAATGTGGTTACTCCTCTAAGGAGGTAATTTGCCTTTAATTTTCATATTCTACGTACCATTATACAACAGAACTCAGTCGTTAGATTGTTTTAGATATGCTACAGATAATCCTCTGGGTGGAAGACATCTACACAGAACTTGAGGAAATTTCAATCATGAATATCTCCATGTACAATGCTCAAAATTGTTCTATTTCGTTCAAATGCGTCTTGCCGTAATATCGCCGTTAAGGACTTCACAATGACGGTGCGTTGCCTCGAGGTTATAAGTGTGATAATCCTCCGAGGGTCAAATTCCAACGTAAAGTAACTGTAATTATTGGAAGAGCTTGTGATACGTAGAGCGCAAATGGTATTTGTAATGATTATAATAATTAAGACTGGGAATAAGAATGATGCAGACAAAGAGATCTATATAATTTTAGGATTTTAGTAATTGTATGGCCATGAAAGTCCATGAAAGGGCCAACGACCTCCTTAGAATATAACTCCAGAAGATGCAGTAAGGTTCCTACTGATATAAAGACCCTCATCCATCCACCGCCTGGTTCAGTGCATTCACGCGATAACTCTCGCTGCGCTCGATCAGCTGTGCATGAGTTCCTCTCTCAACGCACCGACCATCCTCAATCAAGAAGATCACATCCGCCTTACGGATAGTATACAGTCGATGCGCAATCGCAATAACCGTCATATGCTTCGTGGCCTTCTCCAGCCCGTCCTGCAGCAATCTCTCCGACTCCGCATCGAGCGCACTCGTCGACTCGTCCAGCAGCAGGAGCTTAGGCTTGCGGATGAGCGCGCGTGCAATCGCCAATCGCTGCTTCTGACCTCCAGAAAGCCGGTCACCGTTGGGCCCACAGTAGGCATCATATCCATCAGGCAGCTGCATGATCGTGTCATGGATATTGGCCAGTTTACACGCGTCCTCCAATTCCGACTGGGTGACGTCTTGGCCTGGCCTGGCGCCCAGAGTCAGATTGAACCGGATCGTGCCCTCGAACAGCACACTCTGCTGAGGAACATAGGCAATGTCATCGCGGAATGAGCCGTCGCTGTAGGCGATATTGTGGCCGTCAACTTCGATTGTTCCTGAGTTAGGCCCGTAGAGCCGCTCAACGAGCGAGATGATTGTGGACTTGCCCGCCCCGCTGGGTCCCACGAGCGCAGCGAATTGCCCCGGCTGAACGCTCAAATCCAGACCGTGTAGCACACGGGTGTCTGGGCGCGCAGGATATGAGAAGCGAACTTGCTTGAACGCAACACTGATGCCGCCACGAGACTCAGAAGTGGTAGTCTTCTCGCGGGGAGGCGCCGTGGCTTCAACATCCCCGGCTCGCTGGAGCGGTGCGGACAACTTCTTCGTCGACCCCAGATCGAGCAGGTTCAACAGTCGTCGTGTGGCCTGGAATGCGCGCGATACGTCGGGCGCGAGGGCGAACATCTGTCCCCACAGCTGGGAGCTGACGAGTAGTGCTAGCTGCACGATGAAGAACTGCGTCTGGGTGTATTCGCCCGCGATGATTCGCTTTGATCCCCACCAGTATGCCAATGCGTATAGGAAGTTACTCAGTCCGTACCCGACGGCCAGCCATAGGTTTGCCCAAGCGCTCTGTCGAGCGATTTGGCGCATTGGGGCTGAGAGGGACCGACGGTATGTGCCGAGCACCTCATGCTCTAGAGAAAGCGACATGATGGTTTTGATTGAGTTGACGGCCTCGACGGTGATGCCCACGGAATTGGCAAAGGCCTCCATGTGTCGCTCCTCGAAACTGGCCAGCGTGGTGACACGCATATAGCCGGCGCCCAGCAAGAGCGGGATCACGGAGAGACATACCAGCGCAATCTTCCAGGCAATGATGTGTGTCATGGTGATAGTGGCGACGAGACTCACCAGGACCGATAGGATAGTGCAAACCACAGAGCCGGTTAGACCACCCAACGCACTACTATCCTTTGTAATGAACGACAGCAGTAGTGATGGGTTCCGATTTGCGGTCTCGTGCCAGGCCAAATCCTGCTCGAGGATGGACCGCAGCGATAGTACGCGCACCTTGTAGATAACTTGCTCAGCCACCCAACCAAACAGGGACCAGCTGACGAAATTTGCAAGGAATTCGATAATGGCCAGCACAAAGAACAGAAGGCCAAAAAGCTCTCCGGCATGACGAATGGACTCAGGCTCCTCGCAGCCACTGAGCTTGCCCACGACGTTTCCGAAGATCACCGATGATCCGCAATAGGTACCTCCGATGATCACAGCCCCAACGACCGCGAGGAGCAGCACGAACGTGTATGGTCGGAAGAGGGAGCCCATTGAGCCTACGGTTGATCCAAGGCTTCGCTTTTCCTCGAGCGCACTCTCTGGCTCCGCAGTCTCTGCAGGCTTAGTCTTTTCTTCGTCAGTAGCATCGGTTACAGATGACGTCTCAAGAGCCCCGGTCTTCTCGCTGATAACCGGCACCAAGGAATTAGAACGGGCAGAGCTCACTTCCGTCTCCTCATCATCTTGCCCGCCGTGGACGTTGAGGTTTTGGAGACGAACCAACTCAGCATAAGCGCCATTCGCCTCTAGCAGTTGCTGGTGAGTTCCCTGTTCCACCAGCTTCCCTTGGCGCATGACGATAATGTTGTCAGCGTTCTTGATAGTCGACAGACGATGGGCAATGGTGATCACAGTCCGGCCAACTGCCACGTTATCTAGTGCCTCTTGGATACGTGCCTCCGTCGCCGAGTCGAGCGACGCGGTAGCTTCATCCAAGATGAGGATACGCGGATCTTTCACTAGAGCACGCGCGAGGGAGATGCGTTGCTTTTGTCCACCGCTGATGAGATTTCCCTTTGACCCAACCATTGTTCCAAAACCGTCATCCAAGCGCTCAATGAACCCGTTTGCATCGGCCAAGAGAGCAGCGTCCAGGACCAATTCCACGATTTCCCGTGCACCATCCCCCTGCGCCAGAGAAGCCGACACCAGATCCTGGCCATCTCGCACAGCTGCCGCAACGTCGGCGAGAACGTTACCCATTAGAAGGGGACGTAGGTGATCATGTCTGGGAGAGTTGATGAGCCCCAGGGCGATGTTTTCAAGGATGGACCGATCCAAAAGACATGGTTCCTGTTGTACCAGACTTATATGGCTACGAACAGATCTCACGTTGAGGTCCCTGACATCGTGGCCATCTAGCAGTACCGCACCGTCGTCCACATTATAGAATCGGGTAATCAAGCCGGCAACGGTAGACTTGCCACTGCCTGAAAGTCCGACAATAGCTGTCTGCTGACCGGCTGGGCAGGTCAGCGAGAGGTCCTGGAGCACGGGCTTGTCTGGTCGGGACGGAAACGTGAATGAAACGTTCTTCAACTCCACACTTCCCGTAACCTCTGGCAGCACACGACCGGTATCCTCAGAGGTGCCGTCAATGGTAGTCGGGTGTTCAATATCGGCTTCCAGCTTGCCGAACGCGACGGCCGCGGCGTCGAAGCTCTGCAAAAAGGGGGCGGCCTGACTGAGAATCAAAGACGCTAGGGGCGATACTAGTCAGCATGACTCAAATCCACAAGTTCATTACGATTGATACACTTACCATCCACAAGAATGAGAATAACCGTAAACGTGTTTCCTACGGTGATGCCATTGCCACCCGACTCCACAGCGTCTGCGATTTGACGGGAACCTTGCCAGAAGGCAAGACCGTTGGCCGAGAAGGCTATGAAGTAGAGAAGACCTGCCTGAGTGGCTGCAGCAATGGATTTCCACACGCCGGCCGACAAAGCAGGATGCAAGACTTCAACGAATTTCTCCTCCAGCCGTGCATTAGCCGAAAAGGCTTGCACCACCATTGTATTCGAGAATGCTTCCAGCGCGACCGAAGAGGCCTTGGCCATACCCTCCAGTGCGCGGCCGAAGAACTTTTGCACGAAATACCCGCCGCCGATAGACATGATCAGGTACGCTGGGGTGAGGGAGACCAGCATGCCGGCCAGTTTCGGGTCCTTGATGAAGGCAACTATGTATGCGGTGATGAAGAATGCAACGCTGTTGATCACAATGCCAACCTTCTCGGAGGAGCCTTGCTGTATGACGGCGATTTCCCCTGTGATGCGTGAAGACACCTCTCCAGCGGGTAGGTTGTCGAAGAATGCGGCATCTTGTCGCAGGATAGCGCTGAAATATTTTTCTCGCAGACGCTGGGCTAGACGCTCGCCGGAGAGATTCCAGCAAAGGACGTAAATATAAATAAGAGCGAAATAGGCAATACCGATGTATACAATCAACAGGATTTTATCGTTGATTCCCGCTTGGTAGGAGTCGGCGTTGGAGGGGTTGACGTTGCACGTTGATGAGTTTAGTCCGTCCACTAGCTGTCCAAAAACAATTGACATAATAGGAAAGGGAATTCCGGAGGCGATTGAAGTGATAAAGCCGACGAAAAGGAGGGCTAGGTCAGACGACGAGGGGCTGCCATAGACCAGCAAACGACCGAACGAGGTGGCACGGCGCATAAGCTGTGGACGAGGACATCGCGATGAGTTGAAGCACACCATGCAGAATAGACTGGGGAATAACTTACACTTTGCTTAGCTGGCGCCTCTGCGTCCTTAGACGCTTCAGATGCAGTACCCATGATGCCTTGGGAGGTTTGTCGTTACTCTATCTCGAGCAACGATACCAAGCAGCCAGACAAACATGCAGAGATGAAAGAACAATCCTCGCCGGAATCACTACTCATACGTTTGAGCCTAAGCTCCGGCGGCACTCTGCTCCCGTCTGCAAAAGTCCATCAGACGCAAGCAATGTCTAGTTCTCTGGGCATGACACATCGCGCCTCCACTCGACCGTTCTATTCCCTTTCTGAAGCAATGTGCCGACCTCGGACAGAAACTAGTCCGACACTCGATTGTTATCAGATCC